TCGATGAATGGGCGCGTTGCGGTCGGCGTTTCACCCTGAGCCTATACCTATACCCCCTCCCATGATCCTCGTCGCCTGGCTTTCGGGCCACAAGTCAGGTCTTCTGGCGGCCGTTCGGAAAGATGCGGCCCCACCCCCGAACGCTCTCGGCGAGGCGCAGCTGCTGGAGAGCATCCCGAGGCTGGAAAACCACCGAAAACCCACGAAAACGCCCTCGAACCTCGAACTGTGACCTCGATGTCCCCCCCCCCACAATCCCCCTCTTCCAGACATCCGATGTTTCGGTTTGCTCACTGCGGGGTTCCTGGAAGTCCCGACCCTTTCTCCATGTTTTTTTTTCCATTCCGAGTCGTTTTTTCACCGTCCCAGGGCCCGCTGAGGGCCCCCACAGGCCGACAACGGAGACAACTTCCGCTGTGAATCCTCCCGTGCTCTAGATGTCTGGGCCTATCACCAAGGGAAAACCACCCGGATCCGATAATTAGCGTTTACTAGACGGCTTTGGGCGTTCACTGAACAGCCCTGCCCTGATCGATTCTTTCTTTGGGGTCGTTTACTAAACGACCGAGCTTGTCGGGGTGGCCATTCTGGGGGGGGATTTTTTGCCCTCTACATCGTTCCCCCCTGAACGAGGAAGCTGGTGCAGGCCGGGCACCGCGACGCGACGTGCTCGGTGTACCCGCGCATGTGGCACGTCTGGCACCAGTACAGCGAGGGAGGCGGGGAGCACAGGCCGCTGCAGAAGGCGCTGCGGGCGGTGCGCGCAGCCTGGTCCCTGGTCCCTCGATCCTCTCCTCCTCCTCCTCCTCCTCCTCCTCCTCCTCCTCCTCCTCCTCCTCCTCCTCCTCCTCTTCCTCCTGCTCCTCTTCTTCCTCCTGCTCCTCTTACTCCTCCTCCTCCTCTTCCTCCTCCTCCTCCTCGTCCCACCTCCTCCTCCTTCTCCTCCTCCTCCTCCTCCTCCTCCTCCTCCTCCTCACCTCCTCCCCCCTCCTCCCCCCAAGAAGGCCCAGGGGCACCCGAGTGGGTCCCCGCCCAGCCTGGCTCAGGATCCGCTGTGCATTGGTCGATCTTCTGACGCGGGGCCGTGCGCTGGAGAGGCTTGAAGGGGGAAGGTTTGAGGTTCGAGGTGTTCGGGCGCTCGCGTGACTTCTCGGCGGTTTTCCAGCCTCGGGGTGCGGCTGCGCCTCGCCGAGATCTTTCTGAGGATGCCAAGACAATCCCGAACGGGCGCCGCAGGCCCGACTTGTGGCCAGAAGCCCAACATTGACTCCCGATCCGCTGTACTTTCTGGTTGATTTCCCGATTTCAATGTTGCGCCGGGAGAAAGTATGGCGGAAATGTTGGGCCACAAGTGTGCGGATATCGACATCAGTGTGGCTTGAAAAGTAAGGTGGGCAGTTCCGTCCTACTGACAAAGCCGCTCAAAGGTACGACGGATTCAGAGTCAGGGCAGGGTCCACACATCCAGTACAGTTGTACAACAGCAAGACGGATGTTCTTCGTCGTTTTCGGCATCTGGGAGCCACTGCCGGGCCATGGGATGGTGAAAGAAAACGATCCAGGACGAAAACTGTTTTCCCAGGAGGTGGTCCAGTGCCCTGGGGACCCCGTGTTGCACAGATCACGACCAATACATCGAAGGTCTGGGCGGCGGGTCTTCTCATGAATGCTCAGACGGCTTCTAGCCTTCTGAGAAGCCTTCTGAGCCTTCTCGGAAGAAAGAGGAGGCTTCTCAGAAGGCTGGATGGGCTTCTGAGAAGCCCCGCTCGGGCGTCGCATGATGGGGGGCGATAGATCGGGGGGTGACGAAAGGTGAACCTTTCGTGCAAGTCAGGGGCCCCAAAGGGGCCCAAACGGGGCACGAAAGGAACACGTCTCTTCGCCCCCCCCATTGATCGCCCCTCCTTGCAGACGTCAACTTGTTTCACGACGTAGACCCCTGGAGGTCTGGACCGCAGGGACTGGCTTTTCATCCTGCGTCTTTTTGTTGACGGTCCCGCGGCCCAGCGAGGGCCCACGGAGGCCGAAAAAAGGCCGTCCGCCGTGCTTCGTGTATTTCGCGAGGGGGCCTGGGTTCGACTACACGTAGGAGTTGATGGGGGGACAACTTTCCGCCACCACTACCATATGTAGGACGGGGGAGCAGGGAGGATGGGGAGGTCCTCCTCCTCCTCCTCCTCCTCCTCCTCCTCCTCCTCCTCCTCCTCCTCCTCCTCCTCCTCCTCTCCCTCTCCAACCTATTGGTAGTGGTGGTGGAAAATCGGCCCATCAGGAATGAACCTCTGCTGGAGTGCCCTTTGGTGCGCGGCTTCAAGGGTGCCCGTGGGGGCCCGACGACACCGCGTAAGCCAGCATTGCCGCGCCAGATCAACGATCGGCGGGAAGCCACTGAGAAGTTTTTTTCGCCAGCGGGCAACCGCGGAATTCCGCCACCTGGATTCGAACGCCCGGAATGGCACTGCGAAGGCGCTACGGAATCAGACGCAGACAGGGGCCACCAAGATGAGGTCTGGCACTGCCTGCCGCATCGCGATGACGTCTGGCCAGGTCTGGCGTCATGGCCAAAACCGGCACCATCGGCGGGCTTGGAATATGTTAGAATATCCCTTGGATCATTTGCAGTAGTGAAAATCCGCATGGTTCCAAGAGAGAGAGAGAGAGAGATTCAAACATCTTCAAACTTGTTCAAAGATGTTCAAAGATATTCGAAGATATCAAAATGCATTAAAACCAGACGTTTCGGGATGTGGGCTGGGATTCGGGACAGGTCCTGGGGCGGAAAGCGCGCCATATGTCTGACTGGCCCCCCAACGAATCCAATGCGCACTGTAGGGTGCGCCGCATATGCGTCGCTGTCGATTGAAGGGGCGGGGCCCAAACCTGGCGCGTTGAGTTGCGAGCGCAATCACGCGATACGGGTGCCGACGCGAGGTCAAGCTCATTCCAAAAGAAATCACCCGACCCCCCTTGGGGCCAGCACCAAAGGCCACCCTATCGAAGGGTCACCCTTACGTGTACCCGATGGGTGAGGAGCGCCCCGCCCACCGCCGTCTGATGAGAAGGCTTGCCTCGCTTCTCCGTGCTGGCGGCGCCGATGCATCTCCGACGTCGCCGATGCATCGGAGATGCATCGGCCATGCGGCACGACCCTCCGACCCCATCTACGCCTTGGACCCATCTAGGAGGCCCGCTCGTACGCCACGCCCAGCGCGCCGCCCTCTGAGAAGAGAAGGCTTGCATGTGGCTTCACCCTTCGGCGCGCCCCCGGCAGGCGCTGCGGGCGGTGCGCGAGATCGGGCAGTGGGTGACGGCGCGCAAGTCGTGACCGTTGCGCGGCCGGCGGCGGAGCTCAGAGGAGGGCCAGCGGCGGCGTTCAGAGGAGGGCCAGAGAAACGTGGTCTGCGAACATTCGCGCGTGAGCTGCCCGCGTGACCTCGCGCATAAGCGCCCTCTTTTCCAATGTAGCGCGTTGCCATGGCGTCCCGCGTAAGCCACCGCGTGAGGTCGTTGTGTCTTCTTGCGTAAGGCCCGTTTCTTTTCGTCGCTCAGTTGAGGCAATGGTAGTTGGACTTCGCCCTGACTGCTGATCCGACGTACTTTGGGCGACTTCGCAAGTAGGGCGGAATTTCCCGCCCTACTTGTCAAGCTCCTTTGCTGCCGATTCGCGCTCTACTTTGCCGTCGCTGCTCCCGCTACGCTTCTGCAGAACATATCCGCGCCAAGGTTCTGAGGCGGAAATCGCCGTTTTGTCTCCGCATCGTTTGGGGTGCATTTCCCACACAGGGTGGAATAGGAGAAGCGACCAAAGTGTTGTGTTTGGACCCAGGGAAGGGTCCGGGGATCGATTTTGAGTTGCCGTTATCTCAAGTCGCCCTTCTCCGAGGAGTGGGTTCTGGGGCGTCCGTGAGGGGGGTGAGGATTAGGGGGAGTATCTCCCAGATCTCGTGGCACCTTCTTCTTCTTATTCTTCTTCTTATTTTTCTTCTTCTTGTGCTTCCTCTTCTTGTGCTTCTTCTTCTTTTGTTGTTTATTCTTATTGTTATTCTTATTAGGTTTCGTTCTCTTCTTCGTTTTCTTCTTTCCAATGTGTTCGCTGGGCTCCCCTTCTCGTCCGCGCAAATGTCTGGGGCCATGAGGCGCACCCCATCCCATCTTCCCTGACAGCCGACGTTCGCGATTTTCTCACCGCGCGGCCCCAGGGGCCCCGACCGAGGGAAGACGCCGTGATGGAACAAAACGCATCGTCGGAGATGTCCTCTTTCGGATCATGAATCCGGGCCTCCGGCCTCTGGCGGCCGTCCGGGACGATTCTGCCCCCCCCCCCCCCCCCCAAAACGCTCTCGGCGAGGCGCAGCTGCTGGGAAGCATGCCAGGATGAGAAGTCTTCCAGGAGACAGGGAGCAGGCGATCGCGAACATGGATCAAGGCGGAGTGGCTTAGCGACGGGTCCCGCTTTCATCGGAAATCGCGGATTTCCACCGCCGAATGAGGCGGCACCGGCCGCATTTCGGGGAGGGCACCTCCCCCGCTCCATGGATTTGGCGACCGCGCGCCAGATCCCTGGATTGTCACTCGCCCCCGAAAAGAGAACTTCGGAGCACCCGAGAGAGCTTCGGGCACCGTTATCGCCAGAGACCTGGGTTCCTGGCCCCCCTCTTCGGGGCACCCAGAGGGCCCCCGCGGCTCCGCGTGTAACTTCGGTCGTGCGCTGGCGCTCGCTTGCGGGTGGTCGTGCTGCGGGCCAGCGTGCCGGCGGGCTGTTCAGAAGGTGGTGTTGAGACGACGGGTTTTTTCTTTAGCCAAAAAATCGGCCTTTGGGGGCCCTCACTGGGCCCTGGGACCGTCCAAGAAGGAAAGACGACAGGTCCTTGGGAAGGTGTCTGTCCAGACCTCTGGGGTCCAACGTTCCTCTCCTCGCTCTCCCCCGTTGTTAATATCACGACTCGGCGCCAGTTCTCATTGGCATTTTCTCCCATTTCCGTCTCGAACCAGTGAGTTCCGGTTCAGCTGGGCCACTTGGTCCTTTCCTGTTCCGTTGGGCCGCTTGATCCTTCCACTTTGCTATCCTCCTTCTGGCGCTGATCCTCTTGTTTCATTGTTTTGGAGGCTCGTCCATCTCCGGGTACTGGTTCGAGGACGTCGTCCGCTTGGGTGACACGATACAGCACAATCCCGCGGACCGGGGGGAGGGCTGACCAGGAAAGGGCGTCACAATGGGAAGGACAGGGGGAAGAAAATGAGCAGGAAGAGAAGGAGGAGGATGAGGAGGATGAGGAGGAGGAGGAGGAGGAAGAGGAGGAGGAGGAGGAGGAGGAGGACGAACACGAGGATGACGACAAGGAGAAGGAAGAAGAGGAGGAGGAGGAGGAGGAGGAACGAGGAAGGAAAGGCCTTGCCTCTTCGTCTCAGATTCGCCCAGGTACGGGGAGGCGGGCGGACATGGTAAGGTAATCTCCGTCTGTGGGCGTCCAGAAGAAGCTGGGGCTCGGATAACGTCATGCTCCTTTTCGACGCTGCACAAGCTCTATCCCACCAGCGGGCTGTAGCTCCTGCTCCCCATCCTCCTCCTTATCTCTCTCTTCCAGCCTCTCTGAGTCACGTGGGCTCCTCCTCCAACCTCGTCCTCCTCCTCCTCATCCTCCTCCCGCTCCCTCTTCCCACTCCTCTTTAGCCTCCTGTTCCTCCTCCTCCTCCTCCTCGCCCTTCCCCTTTCCAGCTCAATTATCCTCCTCTGCTGCTCTGGCCTTTCTGGTTCCCACCCTGGGGCATTGGCAATGGATCGGTGCTGCGGCCGATGTGGGACGAGGACGGGGAGGGCAAGGAGGACGAATAGCGGTCGGCCCAACACTCCTCCTTTTACAAGGAGGACGAAGCGGAGGAGGAGTTCGAGAAGGAGAGGCGGGGGGGAGAGGTGAGGAGCGAAGGATCGGGACGAGGATTGAGGACGCCGAGCAGCGGCTCCATGCTGTCGCGGCCTCCTCCGCCTCCCTCCCTCCCTCCTCCTCCACCTCCCCCTCCTCCGCATGCAGCGACCCGGCAGACGCTCAGTTCCCCCGCCATCGAGGCCAGTGCCCCTTCGCAGTCGCCCCTGATGTGTTCCACTGCGGCGCCCTCCTGGAGGGGCAGAGTGGAGAGGACGACCCACCCTGCCGCTGCTCGACCCCCTTCTTCCGCCTCCGCCTCCTCCTCCTCCTTCGACTCCTCCTCCTCCTTCTTCGACCACTCTTTCTCCGCCTTCTTCGACTCCTCTTCATTCTTCGACTCCTCCTTCTTCGCCTTCCGTCCTCCTTCGACTTTTCATCCTTCTTCCACTTTCCGTCGCCATTGTGGCTCATGTCCGCAGCGTTTCGCTCAGGATTTGCCATTTTGGCGTGGGTGGTACGGCGGCCCCCGACTGCTTTCGCCTTCAATCAGCTTTCCCAGGCGGGAGGCGTTACCCTCGGTACTGCACTGCGGTCCCAGCCCGCGCGGCCTCTGCGAACGTTTTACTCTTCAGGCGTCTCGGGCTTGGCCCACGCGCGATGGCTAGCGTTTCGATCTCGGGTCATAATGCTAGGCGCCAGTCATGGGAGCCTCCGTGGTGTTGCAAGTACTGCTGATCAGTTTCGACGGGCGAGCGGTGGTGGAACAGGGCAGACCTCGACCGTTGCAGCCAGTGCCACCAAGGAAAGGCAACGGCGCTTGCAGAGCACAAGACACCGGCAGCTCCCTCGCGTCGTGTCGTTCCGTCAACATCTGAGATCAGGGCTACATGTGACGGGCTCCGCGCGAATCAGCAGGCTCTCAGGCAACAGCTTTTCGAGGTCAAGCCGCGGGACACGGCTCACTGTGATCGGATTCCAGCACCAGCGGCTGGACAAAAAGCGCGAGAAGCAAGAGGGTTTGCTGCGAACCCTTCGGCCGAAGGTCGAGGACCTGACAAAGTGCTGGGCGACATTGCCCCGCGCTGGAGTAGCTCCTGCCGCAGGCGACGGGGCTCACAGTGGGCAAGCTCGGCGAGCTGCTGCAGGGCTTCGGCGGCAGGTCTGCGATGACGGAGAAGCTCCGCGCGGTGCTGGAGGAGGCGCGACGGGCTGAGGCCGCCCATCGTGCTTAGCAGCAGCGCGGGGCCGAGGCCGAGCGGGTTTTGTCGCAGCCTGCAGGGCGCGCGCAGCCAACGCACCAACCTCAGCCAGCGCTGCCGAGTCCCACGATTTTGGTGCCGAATCCAGCCACAGACGACCTTGACGTTCTTCGTCTTCGTGCGCTCTTGTTTTCTATCAAAAAGTTCCCGATGATGGGTCTGACTTCGGGGCCGAGGCGAAGAGGACAGGCGGGGCGCAGGCGGGCTCCGTCAAGCGGTCGAGGGCGGGCGCAGCAGCGTGAGTGGTCCAAGCCGGCATGCAGAATGTGTGTCCTTGATGTGCTTTCGATGGTTAAGGTAGTCACAGCGAATGCAACTTCGCTTGGCCCCCTGGGGGGCTTGACTCTTTGAGTGGAGGCTCGATGGTTGTCTTGGCGCAAGAGGGCCATGGGGCGGATGAGCAGCTGCTAGATGTTCAATCGAGAGTGCCAGCGGCAGGTTTTTACGCCGCGCGGGCAGCGGTCATCCCCTGCGACGGCGGAGAATCGCACGGTGGCGCAGCGGTGATGGCGCCGAGATGCATGCTATTGACAGCGCCTCCTCTGTTGGCGCCCGGGCTGCTTTCGCCCGGGCGAGCGGCGGGCGCTCCAGAGCACGCGTCGCGTAAGAAGGTTTCGGGGCCACCTCGGCGCACCTGCGTCGCGACGAACAATGCGGCCCCAAGAGCCAAGAGCATCATTATCCCGACAGAAATCGCGTCTCGCGTCAATGTAGTGCAGCCTCCTGGGCACGAGTGGTTGTTCAGGGGAGGTGTTCAGATGCATCTGGCTCAGATGTCAGGCGTGGGCGGCAGGTCTTGGGGGGGGCGGCGCCATCTACGTCAGCTGATGCACGCTTGCAGCGCGCGCCAGGCGCGGCGATTGATTTCTTCGTCGTGATTTCGAGCAGGGCGGCGCGCGCCAGCGCCCCTCAGGTCTGAGGCGACATAGATACCGGGGCCCCGCGCAAACCAATGTCCATGGTCATCGGGGGCCCCGAGGCCATCCCTCGGTGCGGAGCCCGTCGGCGACTTCGCCGATTGCCAGTTCTGCCCAGACTGGGGCGCGCGCGCTCCCCGAAACGATGGGTAGAGCTTCGTGGATGTAGCGGTGCCGCGGTGACGGCAGGTGGGCCACGTGAGAACCTGGCCCTATTTCTGAAAGGAGCGGAGAGCGAGTTGTCGGACAGGTATGACATCGCGGGGAAGGAGAGGCGTCAGTTTGAAGGGCTCGGTGGTCTTCCTAATTTTGAATCGCGGAAGCTGCGGCGCCATCCCAATCATCGGCTGCCGTGTCCTTCCTCTGAGTTGTCGGCCTGGGAGATGGCGGCCAGGTGGGCTCGCCATTTGCGGAGTGTCGACGCGGCGCCGCAGTCGCGATTGCCACGGCTGGACGTCGACGGCGGGGATCAGCGACGGCGGCCGGGGCGAGCGGCCAAGATTCTGGTGGGGGGGTAGGCGTTTTCGGCAGCGCGTTCAGTTGCGTGCGTTGGTCAGTTTTCGTTTTGTGTTGGCTGCGATCGGCGATCCACCTTTGTCAGATCTCATCCAGCGCATTCTGGATAGGGCCGCCTTGCAGGAGGCGGCCTTTTCAGCTAAGCAAAATAAAGAGCGGCAGTCTGGCGCGTTTCAGAGGGCGTTTCCCCGGCGCGCGCGGCGCGCATACATGTGTATATATGTATATGCGTGTATATGTATACGTATATTAAATGTATATGTTTATGTGTATATATACATATGCTCCAAGGCCAAGGCCATCCAAGGGGGCCATGTCGGAGGAGGAGCGAGTCCGGTTCTTTGAGCTGGCCGGCGATGCGATCTCGGAGTGGGGGTTTATCTGGGCGGCGCACCCCTCTGGCGCTCTTGGGCATCCCGGGGATTTTGAATTCCCCCCCTCCGCCCTCTGTGGAACAGCGAAGGGCTGCCGTGAGCAACTTCTCAGAGCGCGCGGCCGTAGGGAGCGTTCAAATGCACCCTCGTTCGTTCATCCAGCTCTCCGGCGAGGTCCTCGAGGCCTTCGCGGCGCAGTTGCGCTCGCGTGGGAAAGTAGGAGCTCGGCCCGCGCAGCGCTGGGTGTCGCGGCTGATTCGGCTGCGGGAGGCAGACGGAAGACGCGCTCATGCGGACCTGGCCTCGGGCTCGGAGGCCCACTTCCGAAGCCCCAGGGGGCGGGGGGGCGCGGGCGCCGGGCGAGGGAGTTTTCGTGGGGGCGGGCTGGGAAGGGGGGTGCGAGCGATTTGGCTTTCGATAAAACCTTTCCGCGGAGATTGCCAGAGCCAAGGATTGACATTGGATTGGCGTTCTATTAGGCATGGCGAAGTGCTCCGAAATCATGCGGCTCAGTGTGCTGTTCAATTTTTCTAGAATGGTAGGTTTTCTCTTCAAGCTCGGTTGCATGCCCATTCAGTGTTAATGGCCCCAAGGTGTACGCTGTCGGGGTCTGTTTGGGAATATATGCCATTTCAGGGCGCCCTGGCTGGGTGCTCGCACGCGCGCTGACGTGCTGGCTGTCGTTTCGGACCCCGCGAGGCAGGCGGCGGTCGGTTTTCCCAGCGCCCAGGCCAGGGCCCCGATGGGCGATGTTTCTTTCCAGCAGCAGGGGCCGACAGCCAGAGGCGCCGCGAGCGTTTTCGCTGCGGTCGTCGGAAATCCGCGCCGAAGGTCGAGGCCGGTTGGCTTTCTGCCGCAGCCGAAGTCAGGATTCCTATCGCGCGCGCTCGCTGCAGAGGAAAAAGTAAAGCTCGCAGCGCGCGTGGCAGGCTTTGAATGCAAGCCTCATCTGCGCAATTCAAGTCACGATCTGCGCGGGCGGCGCGCGCCCGACAAAATCGAGCCCGCCAGGGTCCGACAATTCCGGGGGCGCAGGTCCAAGTTTCGGGTGCCGCGGAAAGCCGCGGAGCTCGAAGAGACCGCGCTCTGGCGGACTGGGCCGATGCCCAGCGGGGCCAACGGGGCCGCACACGCGATAGCGGCAGAGCTTATGGATGCTAAAGGGCGGTTGCGCGTCGCGGCTTACCTTGGCACCCATCGGGCCCCCAGCTGCGGCCCTGTTGTCGATGCTACTGCACCGCTTGTTGTTCGCCATTGCTGATGAGCGTGGGGCAGGCGCACGTCCGACCCCGACTTGCACGAGGCTTGCGGGCGCGCCTGCTCGGGTCAAGCGAGGGCGTCTTTCTGGGCCCAGGTTCGGCGCCCAGCTGGGGCCGTCATTCTGAATTTGATGCGCGTTGGGCGGGGCCCAGTGGGCCCTCGCCTGACGCGGACGGTCCGCGGCGAAGTGCTGTCCCTGTCCTGTTGCACCCTGTGATGTCGAGCTGCTTTTGGAGGGCGGCATAAGTCGGGCGTCGGCGATGCAGCCGGCGTCGGCCACCCCCGAGGCCGCGGGCGAGGAAGTCGCCCAGGGTCGAGCGCTGCGCGTCGGAGTCAACTCGGCGCGAGATCCAGCGCGACGCGCCACTTGAGGGCGCTGCTCAGCGGAGGGCTCTGGCCGCCAGCGCGTAAGTTCGAGGCCGGCTTGACCGAATCTAACAAGTGCCAATTATGCAGGCAAGGCGTTGGCACCTTCGGCCACCGCCAGCACCAGCGCGAAGAGTTTCGATTGCAAGGGTGCGACGGGCGACCCAGAGGCGGCCCTTGCCCTGCCTGGCAGAGAAGGCGGCTTCCTCTCTCCCCCCCCCCCGATTTTGATGCGGTTGAGTTGGTTCAAGGGTTGCCCGTCCTCCCCGCCGAGGCACAGCCAACCCCGGCGGCTTTGCGTGTTCCCCCCGGGGGGGCGCGCGCCTTTGTGGGGGCGCGCGAGTTTGCGCCGGCGGATCTGGCCAGGCGCGCGGCGCGCCCGAAATGGCCCGTTGCGGGTGGTCCGCGGTCGAGCGTTCGGCCAAAGGTTGCCCCATCAGGGCCCTGTGCCGGGGCCTTGCGGGAAGGCGCCAGAAGGTGCCGCGAGCTGAGCGCTAGGCCATCCCCGAGGCCCTCCGAGTGCCCCCCGGGCGGCAGAGGTTGCGTCGGACCTTCCTTCGGCGGCGCGAGAGGGCCAGAGCTGGGGCGCGCGCCCAGGTTCAGGGGCCCACAAGCACGCGAGAATAGGGAGGGGAGCGTTGAAGTTGTACGAGGGCAGAGTGGAGCAGCCTTCGTGTCGATGGGCGCCTGCCCATGGAGATCTGGATGAGGTTTTTTGCGGTCAGTCGTTCTCGGAGGGGCGGGGGCGTCGCGCGTCCATGGGATGGCCTTCGGCCCATTCCGCCACCGTGCTTGGGTTGTCGGCATGCAGCCTATCTGATGTTCATTGGGATCTCGTTGGGGGCCTCTCGGAGGCAGTTTGGGCGCTTCTTAGGGGTCGTTTGGGGGGCTCTTGGTGCTTCTTCTGGGCCTCTTGGGGGCCTCTTGGGGCCTCTCGGGTGTTTCTTGGGGGTCTCTTGGGGCCTCCTGTCGTTCTGGGCGCCTCTGAGGCTGTCTTGGGGCCCCCTTGAGCAGTTTTGAGGCCCTGTTGGAGGCCTCTTCGGGCGTCTCGGGGTGGTCTCGGGGGCCTTTTGGGGCCGTCTGGGAGCGCGGGGAAACCAAAAATGCGAGAACGCCCAAATCGCTCACCACCCAGAAGACAATCAATGCTTTTGGCCTCTTGGGGCCCTCTTCGGGCGCCTTGGAGGCTCCTTGGAGGCTCCTTGGGCCGCCTGGGGGCCCTCTTGGGCGTTTTGGAGCGATCGCTCAGCGACTCGGAACCTCTGGGACCGTCTGGAGGGCTTCTCGGGGCCATCTTGGCTCGTCTCGGGCCTCGGGCCCGAAAAAGTCATGCGACAGACCGCGCCGCGCCCTGGGAGATGTGGGCTGGGGGGCTCCGAACCGTTGATAATTTGTCAGGAAGGAGGGCTGAGGCTTAGAGGGGTAGTGAGAGGACCCGAGGACACGCCCATTCCGTGCCCAGCAGCACGGTGGTGGATGATCTGTTTGGAAATGCTTGGGCTGATGTGTTCGCCAAGTCAGGCGCAGGCCAGATCAAAGCAGCTAATGTTTCGGTAGATGCAGTGCGGTCTGGTACAGCGGAGGTTCAGCGCAATCTTGATGTCATTTCGCAGGCGCCCCAGTTTGTGGCCAAACCGTCGGTCCCAGAGCCGCGGCCGCCTGCTCGGCCAAATATTTTCACGGCCCCACTTGTTCTGCTTTCTCACGACCTTGAGGAGGTTCATAGGGGGAAGCGTCAGGTGCACGTGGTGTCATTGCTCTGCCCAGACAGCCCGTAGTCGAACCGCGCTGGCGCAACCTGGCGCGGGGTGTGCACCCACTGAACTTCACTTGTTTTGGGCGGTGGTCCGGGCGGACCGGCACGGAGGCGCCCTTCGTAGGGCGCGCGGTGCTGCGGTCCGCCTTGCCTGGGCCGCCCTCGGCTTTGGCGCGCAAGGGTCTCAGGCAGTGAGGGCCCCTGAGGTTTCAAGTGCCTCGAGCGCCAGGTGCAGGCGATAGGCAACTATCTGCTTCGTCGGCGCTGCGGTGCTCATGCCCACATCGAGGCGCCGAGCTGGCGCACGCTGCTCAAGCCCTGCCAGGGCGCACCTTCCGCGGGCCAGCAGTGGTTCCGCGACGAGGTCCTGTCAGGGCGCGAGCCTCGACAATGGGCGGGCAGGGGTGCTGGCGTCCGCGCCAGCATCGCCTGACCGGGTGAGGCTTGCGCAGCGTGCTGTACGCCGATCCCCATTTTTGTCCAGGAGTGAGGGAGTCACGCGCTGGCTCCTCCTCCCCCGAGTCTCTCTCCTCCCAGCCTTTAACGGGCAGCGCCTGAGTCAGGTGCTGCTTATGGTTCGTTCGCGTCCTTCCCCTCCTCCTCCCCCTCCCCCTCCTCCTCCTCCTCCTCCTCCTCCTCCTCCTCCTCCTCCTCCTCCTCTTTCGACTCCTCCTGCTCCTTCGATTCCTCTCCCTCCTTCTTCGACTCCTCCTTCTTCGACTCTTTGTTCGACTCCTCATCCGCCCCCTCCTTCTTCTCCCCTCCCCTCCCCCGCAGAGCGGGGTGACTCTACGAAGCCGCCCCCCTCCCTCTCCCAAGGACAGCTCCCCAAGGCGAGGACATGGCCACCCCGTGAACAGTCTCCACCCGTGTCAGAAGAGTAGGGCGACTCTGCGACGCCACTTCCCCGATCATGAATCCCCAAGGCAGCCCCCGACACACCCAGAGCAGTCCTTTTCTGAGGCAAGATGGCCGCCACTCATTGGCAGTCCCCACACGAGCGACGGAAGAAATCGGGTCCAATTGCGCGGACGTTTGCGCGCAAGTTGCCCGCGCAAGCTCGCGCGCAAGCGCGTTCGTTCTCTGCGCAGTGCCACGCTGGCGACCCGCGTTAGCCATCGCGTAAGATCGCGACGCCGTCTCGGGTAAGGCCTGGTACTTGACGTCGCTCACCTGGGTCTCTCCCGATCGCCACCCTGGCGCGGCCACACGGGGCTCGTTCGGCCTCCTGGATCAAAGAGTTGGGGAGGTTTCCCGCTGCTGGCGGTTCGGGCGGCTCTGGGTGGAGCCCCGTCGTTGGCCCCGCTTCTGTGTCAGCTGGCCCTCGCGCTTCCAGTGGGACTCTGTCGGGTAAAATGTTGCGGTCAGGAGCTTTGGCTCAGCGTGTCGTGGCCCACCACGATTCGGTGCGACACGCTACCCGCTTCCTGGCCGCCCAGCGTCGACGTTCCGAGCTTTTCCGGAGCCTCTTGCCCATCGGAGCGGAGCGACGCGCTATCCGCTCGCGAGGGATTGCGCGTCGCCGCGGCTGCCGCCGCGGCCGTTTCCAAGAGTTCCTGACCGCAGCCAGCGGGGACCCCGAAACAGCCAGTTGTTGCACTGCGGCTGTGTCAACGATGTGGTGCAGACCTGTGGCGTATGCCACGTCGCGCAGTATACCCGGTGCAAGCGAGAGGCGGCAACGGAGCGGCAGCGGGCGGCGACGTGGCGAAACCTCGCCAGACCCACCCAGCGCACGAGGCGGCAACGAGGCGGCAACGAGGCGGCAGCGTGGCGAGACCTCGCCAGATCCACCCAATTCCTCAGCAAAGTAAGCACGACCCCCTCGGTGCAAGCACTGCTCAGGGAAATTACTGTCAGCCGTGCCTCCCCCTCCCCCTCGGCCGATCCTGCGGGCAGATCCGCGCGCCGATGGGCTGCCACCAGAACGAGAACAAGCTGTTCTACACGCAGAAGGCCAACGGCATCTTCGGCATCCAAGGCCTGCGCGCCCCCCCCCCCCCGTGGGGGTCGGCCCTGCGCTTCCTTCGGCCGCCCTCTCTTCCCAGAGATGCTCGCGTCGTGGCAAAAAACGAAATTAGCCTGGCGAAGAACCCAACCATATGCAGTTGTGAATACCGCAGCTGTGGGTTTCATCTTCAGTGGAACTCCCCACAGGACCACGGAACGTGTGAGGGGTGAGACGAGATGGGTGCCACTGGGGCTTTCGGTGAAGCTCCCTATGGGGCCATGAAACACGTGCGGGGTGTGCCGACATGGGTGGCGCAAACGCATGTGAGGGCCGAGACTGGGGCCTCCAGTGGAGCTCCCTATGGGGCCCTGAAACATGCGGGGGGGGGCCGGGATGGGTGGCGGAGGTGACGCATGCGCATGTGAGCGCCGCCACTGGGGCCTTCTGTGCAGCTCCCTGTGGGGCCACGAAACGTGTGAGGGGTGTGCCGAATTGGGTGTGCGGGACGCATGCGGGCGGCGGCACTGGGGCCTTTGGTGGAGCTCCCTATGGGGCCGCGAAACGTGTGTGGGGCGTGCCGAAGCTGATGCCGAAGCTGATGGCGATGATGGTGACGATGATGAGGACGATGATGATGACGATGACGATGACGATGACGATGATGATGACGGGAGGGAGGAGGGGGAAGAGGAGGAGAGGAGACGCGGGGACCGTCTCTTCAAAACGAGGACCCGACACCACAGGATTGTTGGGAGAAACGCGACGGGAAGTTTGCCTCTGCTCTTGGCCTTTCGGGGCCCTCGCCGCGCCCCGGGCCTGTGAAAGAACGGCTCGGGAGGAAGAGCTGGTCCCGGGGAACGGGTCGGGGCTTCTCGGGGGCGGCCAAGAGGGTGGTGATGACTGGGGGGGTTGTATCTCACGGCGGGGGTCAGGATATCTCCCCAGATTTCACGGCGCCTCTTCTTATTTCAATACGTGCATGCCCCCCCCCCTGGGCCGCGCACGTGCCGCCAACCATGATTTGCGCCCCCCCTCTTGGACGCCCCCCTCTTGGTCGACCCCGAACTTAGGGGGACCGCGCATTGGGAAAAGCAATGAGCTGGCGGCGATACCACATGCGGACGCGGCTGATATCCCCACAGGGACTGGAAGTGAGGAGGCAGGGAAGGGATGAAGAGGAGCAAGGCAAGCCCCGCAGACGTCGTACTCGTGGTGGTGGCGGCTGACACACTTGTCGTGCTTGACTTCGTCGTGCCTGCCGCTGACTCGGAGCTCGTCTCCCCGAGGGCATCGTGAGTATCGTTGTGCGTCGTGGTCGTCGTCGACGTCGACATCGTCGTCGTCGTCGTCGTCGTCGTCGTCGTCGTCGTCGTTGTGATCGTCATCATCGTCGTCGTCATCGTCATCGTTGTCGTCATCGTCGTCGTCGTGCTCGTCGTCGTCGTTTTCGTCGTGGACGGCGTACACGCTCTGGCCAGGAGGGCGTGTGCACCGATCCTGGGCATAAGATGGGCCCGGCCAGGATCGGCGCATGTGTGTAATCAGAGTTGAGGGGGCCGAACGGTCATTCGCTGTCCCCGGGCGCGTGGCTAAAGTTGGGTTTCGCGGTGCGGATTGTTGTTGAACCCTCGCTTCTAAAGATAATTATTGTTGACCCCCCTAGCCCTAACTGGTGCACATGTTGTTTCTCCCGCTTGGTACGAACAATTTACTTCAAGTTCGCGCTCTTGCGTGGAGATTCTCAGAATGTATGCAGGAATCGCGCTATCGCGCTGTATTTCCTCACATCTCCTCACAATCTTCGGCGGCGCCGTGCCCCCTAGACTTAGGAATCACGCTATCACTTTAGCTTTCCTCACGATTTACTTGGGAATCGGGCTATCGCTCGAAACTTATTCATGTTGGATTGACGCTTCAGCGACCCACCCCCTCGACCCAGCCGTCTGGGCCCGCCCGCCCGACCTGCCCGTTAGGGTCCCGCCCGATCCTCTCGTCAGGGTCTGCCGCTTGTATTCCTGCTCCTAACCCTCCTGCGAATCTCTCTCGTGCTCTATCCTTCTCCGTCCCCATTGTCTCTTCCCTCATCCCTTCCTTCCCCTGTTTTAGCGGCTTCGCTAACTACACGCGGCAGGTAGGTAAGAGATACCCCCAAGGGGTGTACGATCGAAGACGAGGAGGGCGGGTGTCGAGGGTTTGGTATACACGTTTTGGATGGTACGCGAGCAGGTAAGAGCGAACAGTTTTGGAATGATTGAATTCTCAGTTGATCCGCCCCCTCCTGTGCACCTTCAGTTTTTTAATTGAAGTGTTCCTCCTGGGACTCGCACCCTGTGTTTTCCAGGGGAAGGTCTTCCTCATCAGATTTTGTCCCTGGCCTTTGGTTTACAACTATAGAGACTCCCGCCTGATGCTTCCTCACAATGTGGTTCAAAATCGCGCTCTTGTGCCGGACTTCCTCACAATGTATGCAGGAAGCGCGCTCTCGTGTGGGACGTCCTCGCAATTCATTCAGACGCCACGCCCTCGACGCTCAGGAATCGCGTTCTCGCTTTGGCTTTTCTTACGATTCATTTGGGGATTGCGCTATCGCTCAAAACTTCCTCGCGATTCATGCCGGACTCACGCTTCAGCAACCCGCCCGCTCGACTTGGCCGCCGCCGCCTGGGCCCGCCTTCCCGGCGCGCCTGTTAGGGTCTACCCGCCCGACCCGGCCGACTGGTTTTGCCACGTGGTTTCTGCTCCTAGCCTCTCTCCTGCGAATCTCTCTCGTGCTCCATCCTTCTCCCTCCCCCTTCCATCCGACCTCTCTTTCCCTGCTTTAGGGGCTGCGCCAATTACACGTGGCAGGTAAGGAAGATATGCCCCCGAGGGGGTACGATCGAAGACGATTGTATCGAGGAGTTGGGATATACGTGTTGAATGGCACGCGAGCAGGTAAGTGCGAACGGTCTGAAAATGATTGTTATTGTTGTTGAATGTTCATCTCTAACGAGTGATTATTGTTGACCCCCTCCCGGGGCTCGTACCCAGTTTTTTTACAACGGAAAGCGACAGGTCATCAAACTTGGTTGGGCCCCGAACTACAACAACAATGGTTCCCGCCGGATATTTCCTAACACGTTATTCCCACATCGCGCTATCGTGCGGGTCTTCCTCGCAATGTATGCAAGAATCGCGCTCTCGCGACGGACATCCCCGCCATTTATTCAGACGCTGCGCCCTCGACACTTAGGAATCACGCTCTCGCTGTGGATTCCTGACGGCTTATTTGGGAATCGCGCTATCGCTCGAGACTTCATGCAGGACGCACACTTCAGCAACCCGCCTGCTCGACCTGGCCGCCTGGGCCTGTCTTCCCGACCCGCCCGTCAGGGTCTGCCCGCCCGATCTGCCCATCTGGTTCTGCCACGTGCTTTCTGCTCCTAGCCCCCCTCCTGCTATTCTCTTCCGTGCTCCATCCTCCTCCCTCCCCCTGTCCGTTTCTTCCATTCGTCCTCTCTTTCCCTGTTTTAGGGGCTGCACGAAATACACGTTGCAAGTAGGAGAGATTTATTCCCCCAAGGGAGTATGATAGAAGACGAAGAGGGTGGGTATCGAGGGTTGAATGGCCCGCGAGCAGATGAGAGCGAACAGTCTTAAACTGATTGTTGTTGCTGCTGCTGTTTTTGTTCTCATGGCTGAAAAATGATTGTTGTGATCCACCTCCGGTAACGTATTTGCTTGTTGAATTGAAGTGCCCTTCCCAGGGCTTGCACCCTGTTCCCTACCTAGGCTCTGCCTAGGAGGGTTCTTACTCTGTTAGCTAAAGGGGCCGGGCAATGTTAATCGCCCCGGGCGGTTCCCCCAGTCCCCGCCCCGCGGTTCCCCCAGTCCCTTGGGAGCTTTAGCCTGGGCTTTAGCTTTAGCTTAGCTTTAGCTTTAGCTTTAGCTTTAGCTTAGCTTTAGCTTAGTGTTAGCTTAGCTTTAGCTTAGCTTTAGCTTAGCTTTAGCTTAGCTTTAGCTTAGCTTCAGCTTAGTGTTAGCTTAGCTTTAGCTTAGCTTTAGCTTAGTTTTAGCTTAGCTTCAGCTTAGTGTTAGCTTAGCTTTAGCTTAGTGCTAGCTTAGCTCCAGCTTAGCTTTAGCTTAGCTGTAGCTCAGCTTTAGCTTAGCTTTAGCTTAGCTCCAGCTTAGCTTTAGCTTAGCTTTAGCTTAGCTTTAGCTTAGCTTTAGCTTAGCTTTAGCTTAGCTTTAGCTTAGCTTCAGCTTAGCTTTAGCTTAGCTTTAACTTAGCTTTAGCTTAGCTTTAGCTTAGCTTCAGCTTAGCTTTAGCTTAGTTTTAGCTTAGCTTTAGCTTAGCTTTAGCTTAGCTGCAGCTTAGCTTTAGCTTTAGCTTTAGCTTAGCTTTAGCTTAGCTTTAGCTTAGCGCTAGCTTAGCTTCAGCTTAGCTTTAGCTTAGCTTCAGCTTAGCTTCAGCTTAGCTTTAGCTTAGCTTTAGCTTAGGTAGCCTAGCCTTAGCTTAGCTTTAGCTTAGCTTTAGCTTAGCTTTAGCTTAGCTTTAGCTTAGCTTTAGCTTAGCTTTAGCTTAGCTTTAGCTTATCGATCAGCTTAGTGTTAGCTTAGCTGTAGCTTAGTTTTAGCTTTGCTTTAGCTTAACTTTAGTTTAGCTTTAGCTTAGATTTAGCTTAGCTTTAGCTTAGCTTTAGCTTTAGCTTTAGCTTAGCTTTAGTTTAGCTTTAGCTTAGCTTTAGCTATATCTTTGCTTCAGCTTAGCTTTAGCTTAGCTTCAGTTTAGCTTTAGCTTAGCCTTAGCGTAGCTTTAGCTTAGCTTTCGCTCAGCTTCAGCTTAGCTTTAGCTTAGTTTTAGCTTAGCTTTAGCTTAGTTTTAGCTTTGCTTTAGCTTTAGCTTAGCGTTTGCTTAGCTTTAGCTTCAGCTTTAGCTTAGTTTTAGCTTAGCTTCAGCTTAGCTTCAGCTTAGCTTTAGCTTAGCTTTAGCTTAGCTTTAGCTTAGCTTTAGCTTAGCTCCAGCTTAGCTTTAACTTAGTGTTAGCTTA